CCTGCCCAGTCGTCACCGAGTGGGGCTCGGGGGGCACTGCCGGGCCGTGGGGAGACCAAGCAGCTGTCAGCGTCCCTTGCCTAGAGGAGAAAGCAGAGCTGTCCACGAGGTCAGAAAGAGCAGTTCCTCGGGAAGTGACTGGAAAGTCAGGCCAGCCCAGAGGGGCAGGCATCTGGGTCAGACTGGTTTCAAGCACACTGCCAGCCCCGCGCTCACCTGCCGCAGCTCCTGGTTAGGCCCCGCACCTGCTGCCGCCCCGTTCTTGTCGGTGGCCGCCCCCGGGGCCCGCACCTGCTGCCGCCCCGTTCTTGTCGGTGGCCGCCCTCGCGGTGTCCCGAGGAGCCGTGCAGGTTGGAGCCGGCTCTGCCGTGCAGCGTGCCAGGCGGTGCAGCTGTGGCTGTAGGAAAGCACCTACAGTGTGCGTTGTCGCTACCAGGGCAGGTCCTGGGGAGCATCGTGTGGAGTCATCTCTCAGAGCCGAGTGAAGCAGGACTGGCTGTCAGAGCTTCCCTCCTGAGCCAGCTTTTACTTGGGGTCAATTCCTGGCCTTCGGCACAGGCCTCCTGGCCCAGGCCACTGTACGCGTTTGGTCTGGACCCATCCGGTCTGCATCAGCCCCAGGTTTGCTCAGGCCGCCCCCAAAGCCACAGGGCTGATCTCCCTGGGACCAGGAAAGGAGCGGGTGAGGTCGGTGCCTACGCTTCAGGCGGTGCCTGCGGGCTTTTGTCGTGAGAAGGGCGAGCTGCATGGCAGAGCCCAAGGGCAGTCGGCAGCCGGCACATGGCCGTCATCCCCGTGCTTCCTGTCGGCAGGAAAAGGCGCTGAGCACCGTGGCCCCGTGCCGTCCCGGTGCACGTCTCCACCCAGCGTGAGCCTCTGCTTCCTCTCCCTCCGCAGCCGATCGAGACAGAGAAGAAACCAGCGAGCGCCCTGGACGAGCCAGTGTCCCACTGGAGGCCACGCCTGACGCTGAACATAATGGTGGACGACTTCGTCTTCGATGGGGCCGCCCTGCCGGCCGACGTGCATCGGTACATGAAGATGTGAGTGCCCGCGGGAAGCCCCGGCCAGGCAGGTGGGGACCCACCGGGACCCTGACTGGCCGAAATCCAGCACCCTGGAGCACAGGCCCCCTGCCTCTGCTGGCCAGTGATGCTGCCCCAGGCGTTGGAGGGGAAGGGGGTACACGCCGGCACAGCCTGCCCTTAGGTAGGCAGCGGCTCCCCTCCTCGGGGCCCTCTGCACACCGTATCCATCCTGGTGTCCATGGTCCCTGTCGGAGTCCGTGTTCTTCCTGTCTTGAAGCTGTCTCTGATGAGGTGGCCAGCTTCCACCTGGCCCCAGCTCCCCCTCCCCAGGCCTGCTCGGGGCAAGGGCTGCAAAGCTTCTTCCAGCCATTGCCATCGGGCACGTTTGGACTCCACTTCTCCCGGCTGCGGCGCGGGTGCTCCAGCACCGTGGGCCATGTCCCTCCTGCCCAGCTACTAGTGGCCACGAGGTCCCGCCCGCTCGAGGCAGTAATGGTTTCAGTGGAGGACGTGCTTTACAGACACGAGCTGACCCTCACCTGGAGGGGCGGTGTCCTGGTCCTGGTGGCTGAGAAGCCCGAAGGCCAGTGTGGGGCAGGTCTAGAGCCGAGTCCGGCAGCACTGACGCCCCCGCCCCCCAGGGTCCAGCTGGGGAAGACGGTGCACTACCTCCCCATCCTCTTCATCGACCAGCTGAGCAGCCGCGCCAAGGACCTGATGGTGAGCTCTGGGCCGGCGGCACGGCCGCATGGGCTTGGGTCCCAGCTGGGCCTCTCCTCCTCAGTGACAGGGCGGGTGGCTTCAGGGGCTGGGCACAGAGCTCTCCTCGTGGTCCAGGTGTGCGGGCCTTGTGGCAGTTGGGCCTGGCCTGCTCTTGCAGCCACCCCGGGGCTTCCCAAGCCTCTGCATACTCACCGGACAGACGCTCTTGGAGTGACTGGGGAGTGGCCAGGTGGCTGGGTGCGGCCCAGCTGTGTGGTGCACTGCAGTGCGGATCAGCTCAGGAAACATGGGGCAGACGCCGGCTGCCAGGCATGCCCTCATGGTGGCCCAATGCAGAAGGGTTCACTCGGGGTCCTTGGAGCCTGGTCACGAGGGCCACAGTGGGTGCCAGTCTCCCGGGGTTGGGACCAGCAAAGCAAGTGACGCTGAGGTTGGTGCTAGGCACTTGGCCTGGTGTGGGGCTGTGTCGGTGTCCACGACACTGTGATGGCAGGGGAACCCTGACTGTGGTCACAGGTGAGCAGGCCTGGCCGCCTTGCGCAGCTCTAAGCAGCGAGCTGGAGCCGGGCTGGGCGCCCTCCCCTTTCGGGTTCAGTGAGGCCGAAGTGGATTCTGTCCGTTTTTGCAGGTGAGGAAACTGAGGTGTGGGAGAGCAGGAGTTGCCAGGCTGCCTAGCCTGGCCTCTCAGCCCCCGCCCCAGCGTGCCCCTCTGCTGCCTGTGCCCCAGCAGTGACCCTGCACAGCTGTTCACTGGCACCCCGGGGTCCCTGACCTGTGGTCCTCTGCTTTCCGGGCCAAGGCCGGGAGCAGCCCAGTTCCCAGGCTCACCTCACCCCAAGCTTCTTGCCAGTGGCGTTAGCAAAGCTGCTCTGTCGGACTTCCTGGGTGTGCCGAGGAGCTGCCAGCCAGTCTCCGGCGCCAGGTCCTGCAACAAGCTTGGGGCTGGTGCTGTTGCAACTGCCCAAAGGCCCATCCATGGGCCCGGGGGGTGGTTAGCCGGCCTGTGCGACCACCCACAGTGTGTCCTCACAGCTGGCTGTTCCTGGTGACCCTACGCCCACGGCGTAGCCAAGATCCTGCATGTGGGCAGCTAGTTCCCCCAATGTGTTGGTGCTTATGGGGCCGTTTCCGGGGCTGCCGTCCACAGAGAGCAGCAGGCCCATTGGGAGCCACCCAGGCAGTGTCGAGTTGGGCCGTAGACCGTGGCACCTGGGGATGGGCCTGACAGCTCAAGAGGTGCCCAGAGACCGGCTGCCTGCCTGCACCTGGCTGCCCGTCAGAGGTCTGGTCTGGTCTGCTGTCCTGCCTCCAGTGCAGCGAGTCGAGTTCAGCACATCCCTGGCACCGACAGTACAGGGGCATGGAGCTCCCCGCGTGTCCTGGCCCCCACGCCCGTGCCTGCGCTGAAGGCGCCCAGCCTGTGCGTTCTCCTGCTCGCCAGGCCTTTTGGGTGGTGCCCGGATCCTCGCCATGCTCAGGGGGCCCAGGGTTCCCGGGGTCCGCGTGCCAATGAGCTCCCGGGGACACTGGTGGGGGCTGCAGTGGGCACGGGCAGAGGAGTGGCAGGAGCCGGGGCCGCCCCGTCCACATGGCCTTCTGTGGGGTGGGAGCCGGGCCTGGCGGAGGGGCACAGCCTTGGCCTGATGACTGGGCTCGTGTTGACCAGGCTGTAGCTGGCGGGGCTGTGGAAGGTGCAGCTCTGGGTGTGGGCCGTGCGGGACGGCGGATGCTCAGGCAGCCTCTGCTTGGCAGGTCATCAACCGCTCCACCACCGAGCTTCCGCTCACTGTGTCCTACGACAAGATCTCCCTGGGACGGCTGCGCTTCTGGATCCACATGCAGGACGCCGTGTACTCCCTGCAGCAGTTCGGTGAGCACCACAGCAGCCGCGGCTGGCGGGGGCCCCCCCCGCCGC